ACTATTATTGTGAGTATGTTTGGGTGTATCTGTCTGCAGGTGGAGACCAGGGGCTTCTCAACAGTTTCTTCAACACCTGGGCGACGGCAGATATTTCCAAACACCTTCCCTTCATCTACAATCTCAGCAGTATTGCAATCTACTCCTACCTGCCAGCCTTCAAACAGTCAGTACAACAAACACAATACATCTGAGTCTCTTCATACCATCGTGTTTAGCCCACTTAATACTGCTCTGTCAAATATTGGCTTGTTACGAGGCAAGTTTGTCTGAGGTCACTTCAGAAGTTGTGTATTTGTGATGGTGTTAAATTACAAGAAGCTGGTACAACACTTGTTCTGCAACAGCCCCTTTAAAAATAGAGGCGCTACTGTACCTACACGTATACTTCCTGTTTTATTTAAATCTGTAGTGTACGTGGCCTCTTGTTGAGAAATGTTAAAAGAAGATTCCACATCGTTAAAACCTGCTTATTACTGAGGTAGTTTTCACTGTTTGTATTGTAAAGAATATTTTTATACTCTCAATGAGTTGCTCTCATCTGGGAATGTGGCATCACTAAAAAGAAGCCAGATGGGGAAAGAAACCTGAGCAGACAGAGGATCATACAGGACTCGAAACAAATCTTAATAGCAGCCAAACATGTTTGGAAAAGAAACGGAAAGTAAAATTGTCAGTTTTCAACTTCTGTTACAGTTGACAAGCTTTTCTTCCTGTGTTCAAATTGACCATATTACTGGTGTGCAATGGGAGATTAGTTCAGACATATCAAGTGTACTTGCTTCCTCTCATTGATCTAGTTTAACTAGTTTGTCCAAACTGTTCCATTGGACCACTCCTGTTTCTCACCCCATTGAATGAGAACAAATTAGCTCTTGAAGGCCAAATGTATAATAATGAGACCCAATTTGTAATAAATTAGAGTAACGCCTTCATATCATGAGGGTGGAAATGGTATTTGTACCATGTTCAGTCAGTAAATTTACCTGCAACAATAATTGGCAAGTTTAAAGTGTCAACAAGCTTAACTCAACATGAAAAAGTGGGTAGAGACAACAAGAGTAGGCTCATGTTTTCAGCTCGGTCTCGTATGCTTCTGTTCTCTTTCCTTTTCGTTTTTACAGGTATGGCCATGGCGCGAAGGTGGTGCACTTCCTGGGCAAAGTGAAGCCATGGAACTACTCCTATGACGCTCAGAAGGGCGAGGTCAAAGGTCACTCTGTGTCTCCTGACCCAAACCAGCTGCATGCTGACTATCTGGTTATGTGGTGGCAGCTGTATGCCAAGTCTGTGCTGCCTCTACTGCAGCAGGCCTACGGGGATACTCCCTTCCACAGTGGCTGCATAGAAGCAAGCAAGGATGTACGTCTTTACATGGTGATGGAGTGTGTGAAAGGGAGTGCATTTGGTTCTAGGTGTGGGTGTACATGCGTTAGAAGAATACACGATGGCTGTGACTGTGCATGCTTGGGTGTGTGAATTTGTTGTGGCATGTTGCATAATCCTCATGTCCTGAATGTGTCATAACCTATAATTGCAAGCTGAACGCTTTCCTTGGTATCGTTGTTTGAAATTGCCAAGCTGCGTACGTGCCACATGTCGAAGCTTTAAGCTCAATATAAAAATGCAGGCCAGTTGCAGTCATCACAGTAATAATTAAAAGTTGACTGGTGCTGAGGAATGTGTAACCAATTGGTTGCCAAAAGTCCTCAGCAGTGTGCTCACTTCATGAATAGCTTGCTGTCTTCAGTGAATTATGTAGGGTGCCAGGCTGGCAACAAGTGTTGAGCATTTCACAGAGTAGCAGGAAGTTGCCATGCTGTCTGTAACGGCACTGTAGTGAGATGGCAACTGCCAAAACCTGCAGTTTTGTTCACTTGCACTCTGTTCGTTAATGTGCTCGCTACGCAGAGCCATTATGTTAATTGGTATTGACTTACTGAGTTGCTTCTACTGTAGGAAGATTATTTGCTTCATCATGTTGCAGTAAAAACTTGACATCTGCGAAACGTACTCGACTTAATTGCTGTAAGGGTGTTACAAAATGTTTTGTTGCACTTTTACTCTTCTGATGAAACCTCTACGTTTTACTGGTTATCTTGAGGAGATTCATCTGAGGGAAAGCTGAACGTAGGGAAACAAGTCCTTATAAAGTACTGCCCCAGTTCATTCATACTTTTTTTTTTTTTTTTTTCCTGCCTGTCACACAGGAGAGTCCGCTTCATGAGGACGTCAAAGAGCAGCAGCCACCACCGGCCCCAGCTCCTCCTCGTCAGAAGTTTTCATCAGAGGAGAGGAAGCAGCGCTGGGAAGCGGGTCAGATTGACTACATGGGCGATGACTCCTTCGCCAACATTGAACGAAAGCTTGACTCCTTCCTAAAGTAGCTGGCGTGTGGGGGTGCAATGGACAGAGCAAGCACCAGTTTAAGCCCTGTGTAGGTGGGGATTTAACCACCCCTCAGCCAATCACAGGGGCTTGATTAGGAGGTGACTGAATTGAATGCCTCTGTGCAACTTTCAGCTTCACTCTGCATCCTGTCAGTGTCTAAATGACAGTATGTTTGACAGTGCCCATGCACTCTGACCATTCATTTCTTCTCTTAAGGGAAAGTTTTTAATATTTTGGGAAATAAGCTAATTTGCTTTGTTTGGTGAATTAGATATGAAAACTTATACCCTTCATATGTCTGTATGGTAAATATGAAGCTACTACCAGCAGCGAGCGAGCTTAGCATAAAGACTAGAAACGGTTAGGCCCATGTGTGCTCAGCATGGCGAATATTACTGTCCTTTTGATTATATGGGGTATATTAGTTATTTTTCCTACACTATTCAGTAGTTGGTTAGAGCTTCAATCTGCTCAGAATGATTAAATGTTCCCCCTGAGGTTACAGATGTGGCTAGGAAATGGCCAGCCCAGCCCTGTCAAAAGATAACGGCACTTCTATAACTCACTAATTTTAATGTCACATCTTGTTTGAGTAATCCAAACAGCATTCTGTATAACTCAGATGTTTTATAGGTGGTTATGTACCAGACTGCTTTCTTGGCCAAGAATGGTAAATTGCTGGGAGTCTCCGCTGGTTGCCTGGTCCAAGCTAAGTGAAAGTCTGGCACATAACACTTATCAAACTCTTTTTTTTTTTTTTTGTACAGATTAAACAAATTGGTGAGCTTCAGCTTGGCTTTCATCTAAAGTTGGTTTGTTGGCAGTAGCGTCATACAGTGAATGTGTAGCTTCTTCCCAAAATGTTGTAACTATTCCTTTATGTTCTTGTGCATCTGATAGAAAAGCACCCACAGTCCTGAGTCTTCCTAACCTGTGAAGTGAGGCATATGGCTGAAGGCAAATTAATGTTTAAGAGTTGTTTCTGGATTTTACCACAACTTGACCCCTGCAATAAGTCTCTCTACTGTCCGGAACCATTTTATAGAGCAACTGGCTCGCTTCCTTCTTGCAGTCCTTGCTCTGTTTGGGCCAGTTAGGACAGTCTGACAAGCATTCCCCTCATCAGAGCATCTAGGTAGTCATCCATGTCTATGCTTCTGACACCAACTCCCTGTGACTTTAGCTTTGTAATGTCTGGTACTGTATTAGGGCTAGGCTTGTTGTGTTGTATTTGCATGGCACAGAGCTAAAACTTGGGTCAGTAAGTATAACTACAAGTCCACCCACATCCTGAAGTGATATTTTGTATGCATGTGTGGGGTCCCACCCCCCCCACTAGTGTGCTCCCCAGACATCTGGCATCTGTATGTGTGCCCTGCATGTTATAGCGGTGTCTTTGTGCCATCACTTAGGTTTCATCACTTCCCGTCTGTAGTGTTGCGAGCTGCCTTATTACTTGGTTTACATAACTTCAGTTACTGTAACTGCTGCTGCTAATGGCCTTACAAGTTGAACATTTGAGGCTTCCCTGTTACAAATTTCAATTCAGCTCTGTGTAAATTACCTGCAACTTATAAAAACAATAAACACTCTTTATTCCACTTTGCTATAAGAAGCTGTCAAGGTTAAGAGGCAAGTGGAACGTAAAGATGTGGCATTGGTTAATCCAGATCTGTCCTTCTCCCCACATGTTAACTGTCCAGCCCTGTCACAGTGCTAATAAAGAACTAGTTATGAACCACCTTGTCCTCACCCTTCCTGTCATTTCTTGTTTTTAGATTATACTAGTGACCTGGTGTAGCTGCAACAAAATGTATTAGGTTGTGAAAACTGTCTAGTTCTAAGAGCTCAAGATGGGGTGTCTGTTCTACCAAGAACCTAAACTACTACAACAGGTGGGCGTCGTTTCTTTACCCCAGTGTTATTTTAACAAATCTTTATCATGCACCTTGACACAGTTGTCCAGCTTTGGCATTTTTATGGTCTAATCATAAACAAAGCTTGCCAAGATACATATCTTGTTGTGAATTAGTATAATTACATTTAGAAGATTAATGATCAACTCAAACTTGAAATACAAAGAGGACATTGACAATGTGTGTCGCTACAGCTCCAGCAGCGCTTTGACGTCGTCAACACGGGAGGTTTTCCTGTCGGTGTTTGTGGAGCCAAATGCCTTCTCCAGCAGGTCCTGTTTCTTCCTCTGGATCTTCACCATGTTCTCCTCCACTGAATCCTTCACAATGAACTGCAGCAACAGACAAAGTCTGAGGAGCCAGTCTCTACTATGAACCTACAGACTAAAGAGCTTTTAGCCTAATGTAAACAACTTTAAATTAGAGTAATATAGGATGTGCGATGCCTTGCTAGCAATAAGAAGTGACTGCAGAACCCAAGACAGCAATAAAACTATCCTGGATCCTAGTTTTCTAACCTTGGTGATGACGACTTTCCTCTTCTGGCCCAGGCGATGGCAGCGGTCAATACACTGCTGCTCAGTAGCAGGGTTCCATGCCTAAAACACAATTAAGAATACATCAATGTAAGCTGCAGGCCGTGCACTGTAATATAAAATGTACAAGGAAAAAAAACATTTGTTCCCAACTCCTTTACTAGCCGCATGACCAGTGAGAAGTTAAAATATTAATGCAACTACCAGTACATGAGTTTTCTAAGGCCTTGTGCAAACCCACTTCATGATACACAATCTGAGATAGTACAAACTGTTAAGTATGGTTGAACATGTTAAAGCATCTGGTTTCTGGCTGAAATCGGTACATACAGGGTCCAAGAGAAACACATGGGAGGCAGCAGTCAAGTTAAGCCCAACCCCTCCGGCTTTGAGGGACAGAAGCATGATGACAGGGCTGTTGGCCGCAGAGCTCTGAAACTCCCTGATCACCTGGGTTCTCCTCTTTTGGCTCATGGTGCCATCCAAACGCACAAAACTGAAACCATGCTCTCTGGTGAAGAGGGACAACAATAATGAATAAAATAAACTTGAGAAATTCTGTACTCGAGCAGATCACGCTACGGTCTTTAGATTTTAGTATGTCGTAACGGATAATTGTGCTGTTTTTGTTAGTCACAATGTCTTTTACCCATTTCTAATCACCACTGTGTGTGGATGTAACTCTTATAGGTGCAGTTATGTCTTTATTGATCTTATGATCAAAAAGGAGGGAGTGTGAAAGAGGAATGTTCAATGGAATTGGAGAGCTGTACACAGTCATGATTCTGGGTTCTATACACCAAAACCACAATTTAAAAATTCCTTTAGTATGAGTGTGTGTTACCTGAGTGGAGTCTCCAGTATGGTGAGGAAACGTGTAAACTGAGAGACAACCAAACACTTAATGCTGCTGTCTTCACATCGCAGCCTGAGGAGGTTTCCCATCAGCGCCTGCACCTGCAGAGACAAAATGAGGAACAATATGACTCATGTCTGCTTTCAATCACTGTCATGCTGCTGATAAAGACTTAACACGAAGTCAGACCAGTTCTTCTAAAGTGGTGGGTGTGTTACTGAAGACAGCAGACTTGTCAATATAAATTAAATCATTTATCTTTGTATAGATTGTCACTGTCTTGTGACACAAAAAAAACCCACCAAAGTTCTAATACTGTAAATGTGTAGTAAATCAATGGCACTTCAATATGGCTCACACATAAAATCCTTTGGAGTTAAAATTCAAGCTAGTTTTGCTTTTCATTTGTATCAGAAACCACTGGTGATTCTTACTGTTAATCTGGTTATAGACTACCAAATACTTAAACTACTTAATTTTCTGCATTAATTACATGTAACACAATGTTAAAGGTTTCAGAGAAGACAAATTATTTGAAGGCAACAAGGTGGAAGAGTCAAGAATAAAGGAAAAAGGGATCCTCCATTCTTAGTGGTCTACTGAGTATTTTTATCCAGTTAGTTTTGCGGCCTCAGTATGTGCACTGCACCTTCGAGCTTGTCCTCCACTTCTCAGAGTTCATGTTGTTCTCTTCCTCAATTTCCTCCTGTGGAAACTCCACCAGCTCACTAGTCTTGATCTCACTTCGACAAAGAGGACAGCGTGCCCTGTCCTATGCACAGGCGCACACACAAACACCCAGAGCACAGGGAATTGATTATATACACGAGTGAAAACTTGCTTTTTAAGTTAATTCAAATGACAAAGTACAAAACCCTACCCTTTGCTAAGGGAGAACATCTACCTGCTCAGTGCCGATGACTTGAGCGATGCAGGGTCGGCAGTAAACATGGGCGCAGTGTGTAATGACCGGCAGACGGACCGAGTCCAGGCACACAGAGCATTCCTCATCAGAGCCACTGGCCAACACCATCTTCAGCTTCTTTATCAAACGCTCCCGCAGCTCTGCAGGTGTCACTGCAGCACCTACAGATGAAAGCAGAACATGGAGAGGGAACAAGTACCGCTTTTGAAAGAAACATATGAGCAAATCAAGTCAGAGGTCAGGTACAAATCAGTGCATATTCTATTAACTTAATTTCTAGTCCATTGCAGGACATTTTGAGGCTACTACACTGCGTTAGCCAGTCAATTAAAAATATCTAATTTGTTTCACATCCGCATGTGAATTTTACTGAGAAACTTTTACATGCAAGTCGGCATTAACCTAAAAATAAGTGGTCAAGCAGAAAAATTTAAAAGACCTGTGTGAGTCTGCTAGAACTTAAACAAGGCCTGAATCAGAAACCCTACTTGGGAAAGGCCCAGAGCTGGGCATGGGTCTACAAAACTAACTTAAAATCCCCACTGTATTAAACAGATTTAGATGCTTTGCTCTTCAGAATCACATCATTGTCAGACTGCACGTTTTACCGAGATCTGAGGATGTCTTTGCCAGCAGATCAGGGTGGCAGCAGAGCTGTCGGAGCCTCATCAGGATGGCCAATACATCAGCATAGTTTCTCAAGACTGTCCCTTCAGCTACATATCTACCGTACATACACAAACAATAATACAATATAAAACTTTCACCATATCCAACACACATCCATCAACAGCCAAGTGTTGTCAAATATTCTTATTTAGTTTTTATTTGTAAGTTGGCAACTTACCAGGTTTCTCTCTTCACACATACATGCACATGTGTGAAGAGAGTGACATACCTGCCTATTGTGCTTCTTCCCTCATTACGTGCCAGCTCATAGACCTCTCTCTCTGGCTGGCTCAGTTTCACCTGCTCCACACATACCGTCTTCTCAGGTAGAGACACTAGGAGCTGCCCATTCAGCATGCTGCTCTTTGTCCGCCGCAGGGTGATGCATTTCACCAAGATCTGAAGGTTCCTGCACACAGTATGAAGTGCCTGAATTTAATATCTGATGTATGATATCTCACTCAGGATGCTACACAGGGGACTCGTCATAGTCTGTTAGCACATCTGGCTATCCTATAAAATAGCAAACTATTCTGATTTAAACCATTAAAACTGCCTGATACAATATTTACTGTATATACTGTACATATAACACTAGACAGTGAATATTCAGGAATCGTGATGTTAAATTCAATACCTTTAAACAATATATTTTAAGACCTCAACACCCCTTTGAGTTATAACTGGCTATATCAAAAACACATTTTAAATATATTTACTATATACTGACTGAAATTCAAGGGTGCTCCAGCCTCCTCCAAAGATAAACTACCCATAGGATTGAGTGTGGGTGTGTGTGTGGTTGTCTGTCTCCAAGTGTCAGCCCTGTGATAGACTGGCGACCTGTCCAGGGTGTCCCCCCCCTCGCTCAATGTAAGCTGGGATTGGCTCCAGCTCCTGGTGACCCTCTTCAGAATAAGCAGTATAGATAATGGATGGATGGATGACTGAAATTCCTTTGTTGGAACTGACAGAGTGGTGTTTTACCACCATATTGAGACACCACACAACCCCTGGTGTGGTGTGATTTGTCACGATGAGGTCAGCCGAAGCAGCAACAGCCACTGTAGTAGTGTAGCTGGTTTAGCACAGATATCAGCAATAGACAACTACTGTCTGCATCTTATAGCAAATTTGTGACTAGCACTGTGCATACGGTGCACATGGGTCTGGATAGCATTGATCCCGATCGAGGAACACTTATTAGTTTCTTACTCACCAAACAATACTCCTGCCAGTTATCTACAGTGATGGTCCTCAACCATGGTTTATCGATTCAATTTCATCCAACCACTTGATTGCACCTCAGCAATAATTTCACTCAGACATACTGAACCATTGCTAACTTACAGTAAATGCTGCCCTCTAGAGTATTATTACAACACTGCAGCAGTGTAATATGTACACTATATTCATTGAGCACTCACTGCAGGCCAGCCCTGTCTCCTTGTATAACTGGTCTTTGGATCACTCTGTTCCACCACTCCCTCACATCAAAGGGCTTCAGACGGAGAAAGGCCAGCAGCATCCACAGGTCCTTCACGCTGTTCTGGATAGGAGTACCTAAAGAAATGAAGAACAAACAAAGACACACAAGTGTTTAAAGATGTTGAACAAAAACTGACATATGTGTGTGTGTTTAAAGGTAGCTATACCTGAAAGAATCCAGCGTCGCTGAGCCTTCAATTCAAGCACAGCCTTACTCATTTGTGCATTTGGGTTTCTTATGATGTGACCTTCATCCAGCACAACCCTGAGCCAATTAATGCCATGGAGAGAACTCTTATTCTGAAAGGGAAATGAACAGATTATACTCGTGATTAAAAAAAGGAGAAGGAAATTATCTCTGCAAATGAAACATAGAGTTCAGGTTTAGGAGACATTTTTTGCCATTGATTATGCTTATCAAATTAAATTAACGCACACTTTGCACTTCCATATTACATTTGCCTCCCATGTTTCTTCTCTGTGTGAACACCTTGGTTAACCTTGCAGCCACTGATGTACATGTGACCTGTTTCCACTCACCCCAAAGTCAGAGGAGAGGACATTATAGGTGGTGATCACCACATCCTGAGAGGACAGAAACTTCTTGCTCCGGTTGCGCTCTGAGCCGTAATACAAGTACACGTTGAGCTTCACATCAGCATGCACATGCTGCTCAAACTGGTCCTGTGCGCATACACAAAATATAGAGGAAGATGAGACAAATATCGACTTCAGACATGAGAACCAACCAACAGAGCCTGTTTGTCTAGGGTATGAAAAAAACAAACAATACAGGTCATAAATTGTTACATGGTTAATTATATATATATTTTTAAACCAGGAGCACCATACAGTCTTCCCTTTCACTTTATCCATCCATACCTGTCTCCAAGCTAATTGGCCAGACAGTATCTAAATTGAGTTCATTAACACAATCTATCTTTCTGTGGGTATTTTGTAGTGTGAGGCTGTACTCCTACCAGCCAGTTGCTGAGCACAGACAGTGGGCAGATGATGAGAGTTGTTCTAGCTGATAAGTCATATGCACTTTCAGGTATGGAAGAGTCCACACCTGCACGTAACAAAAGGAACAGCTCCAATTTCACTGCCCGACTGTTCTTTGACTAAACTAATGCATATGTCAAACACAAAAAAAACATCAGGTGAAACTCTAGTGTTAGTGCTCACTCTGTGTGGGAGTGGCCTTCTTGGTAGTTTTCTTCTTCTTCTTTAAGCCGGTATCTGATGCTGAGCCACTCAGTGCTGCAGCAAAGTCCAGATCCTCCACTAATACTGGGGCCTCTGCACAGAACCATAAAAATGAATGATTTACTGATACCAATACGGAGGTGTGATGTTCAGCTATGCCACCCCATCAAAATTTAAATTACAAACATCTTTTTTGTCAAATTCCCTATATACATAATACAGGGTATAAATAGAGACAGTACATTGTACCTTTACCGAGCTTTCGCTTGGTAGTTTTCACCTTTCCTTTGCACGCACCTGAAAGTGGAGAAGTCGGGTTGAGTAAGCCACAAAATCCACTGAAGACAAAAATACACAAACAGTGCAAACAAACATTTAAAAGTGAAAAGGTTCGCTGTCAGCTCTTACTTTTCTCTGAATTGTCCACAATCTCCACTATGTCTGGCGTATCATCACAGATCATCTCCACCTGGGGGCTGACGGACACAGGGACATATCAGGTTATGTAAGACAAAACTTTAATAGAAAGAACAAAGTCAGCTAAATTTTTGAGCTTCATAAACACATCTTAAGGCTGAAGTGTTGCATTGAAGTGCATACAGTCGTACAGATGTACCTAATAAAGTGGCTGGGAAGTGTATGTCCAGATGCTGAAATTTGCATTATTACATTATTATTATTCAAATTTCATTAGAACACACTTACAAGTCTGAGTATATAGACTCAGCTGCTACATCACTCGCTCCTGCTCCATCACATGCACTGCTGCTTCCTGAAACAAAGACACCACCTCATCTCTCTGTTAGTGCTCCTTTGTTTTATTTCTTTGTATGTAGGCTTGTGGAAATGTCACCCTATAGTCACACAGTGAGGCAGAGGGGGAAAAAACTGCTGCAACTTTTATTGAAAGTTGAGAGTACCTTTGAGTTTGGAGGCCACCTTTGGTTCAGGTTTGGCTTTGATAGATGAAGACTGCTCCTCCTGATCACATGTAAACAAACACTTTATAATGGTTGAACACAAGTCACTGAGACTGCACAATGACTGAAAAGTAATAAACATAGCTACACTTAGGCATTTCTCCACAGGTAGGGGCTTTCCCTTATGGAAGTTGGTGAGAATCAGAGCAATGGTTGTCAGAGATTTCCCCTGAAAAACAACACAAGCAGGGGATTTGGTGTTGATTTGTGTTTGCTTAGACAGCAGCACTGTGAAACCTGTTTTGGTGGTGAATACAAAAAACAAAGCAGTATTTCCTGCAATAACCAGCAACTTACCACTTCGGCTAATGTGTAAACTAACTTGTAATACACCAATAAACACATTTTTAATCACTTCATCACACAACAGTCTAAATTAATGTAGCATATGTGCAGTCAAATATGTTTATGTATAAAATGTGTGTGTGTGTCACTTACCATTCCCATGTCATCTGCTAGTATTCCCCCACAAACCCTCTCTGGTATTTCTTTGGCAGAGAAACATGTGACACTGTTGTAGTACAGTTCACCTCTCTTCTCCCAGAAGGGTGGTAGTGCAGATTTGTTTTCTCGAGCACACATCCAGGACAGCGCCTGCTTCTGGTGAAGCAGGAGGGGAGTTCCCACAGACTGCGGAGAAAAGGGGATGTTCACATTAAAGATGCACAAAGACATGTCTTGACAACCTATATAACTTTGTGAGGGTGCAAGAAGGTGACAGCCCAGAGGTGTAAAGCAGTTTCTCTAGAACTGCGGTGAGAGAGACAGGACAAAGGTTATTTCTGAGTGCGACTCAAACTACGACTACATCTGCATCCACAAATTAATTGTTGACTGGTGTTCAATAATGTAAAAGTCAATTTTACATTTAAATTTTAAGCAAATAGTTAATGATTTTATCCACAATCACGTACAAATTGTTAAATATAAGGAGGGCAGGGAGAGGGCGCTCTAATTTCTAATTCAGGAGTAAAACAACTGACCAAGAGCATAGAATCTAACTTAAAGTACTATAATGATACCCTTGTAAAATAGACTGTTTAGCACATTTAAAGCAACATTCAAACAGGAAGACATGCCATAGCAGATAATAAAATTCAGACAGATTAACAAATCAAATATGCACCTTGGCTGCTTCTTTCTCTCCATCTTTACTCTCCATCAAGCCTTCAAACAGATGATCAAATGCATTCTTCAGCTGAAAGAAAAAAAAAAACATCTGCATAAAGTTAAAGTAATAACAAATGCTGAGTTTAGTCTTGTATGTTTAGAACATAAATGCAAATGTATTGCCACTCCATATAATTTTAGCATAAATCCTAGAACTACCGCTTTGCAGTTGCATTCCTATGCTAACCAGTCTAATTCACGGGTATGGGACAGAAGTGAAGTCACTGACCTTTGACCACCAAAATCTAATCAGTCAATCTTTGAGTCCAAGTGGACATTTGTTCCAAATTTGCTGAAATTCCCTCAAGGGGTTCCTGTGATATCGCATTCACAAGAATCGTATGGATGGACAGACGGACAATCCGAAACCATAATGCCTCTGGCCGCGGCTGTTGCCAACATAGAGGCATAATAAACATTTAAATATGATGAACAATGAACTGTCTATGTTGTACAAACCCTAACAATAACAAATTTAGAGCATTAATATAAACTGACTACATGTTTTATAGAAAATTTAGCTTAGGCCATACATTACACTCAGATAAGAAATACTCGGAGTGCTTAAAAGTACAGTTTAGCACTGTTATGACAATGCACCTCTATGCATTATTGATCATCATGGTACAACGCTACATATTACAGGAACTAAATGTAAGTAGATTACCTCCTCTGCAGTTAGTGGGATAGTCACACCTTTTTTAGATGGCAATGCATAAGCCCCCAAACTATTATATGTTTGATATGAACCTGAAATCAAACACATGCAAGCATATACACAAACAAAGAAAAAAAAAAAACATGTAGTGAGAATAATGACAGTGACTGAAAACTGACCATAACTGTGCAACACATTTTCTATTAAGGTAAACGTCAGATCAGATGGTTGAGTTGTGTGCATACCTCTTGATGCGATTCCACCTGTGTTCAACTTGTATCCATGATTTGACATATATTGAATAACTGTGTTTTTGTTCTCTTCTTTCCCCAAGAACGACAGCATCACTGGCATATTGAACTTGTTTTTCGTCCCTGAATGCACCACCCTGACAAAACAATGTGACATTTAACAAAATACACACAAACCCATTGTAATCACTCTCCATCTGAGCTCATGGCTCAGTTGTTTATGTTCAGAGTTTGTCAGTTATTATTGTGGGATTTCTAGACTGAAGTTCCAGAAGTTGCTGCAAATACATTACATTCTGACAGTGATGACACTGACAGGCAAGAGCAAATCTGCTCACCCCTCTACTTTAGCCAAGTTGTTGTCCATGACATAGGCCATAGCTGCTGCCAGCTGCCTCTTGATGTGTCCCACCTGGTTGCCATAAATGTTGGCGACCATCACTGAATTGCGGTCATATTGATTCTGGGGCTCACGCACCAAACCGACCATTTCCCCTTGGTTCACCTGTCCAGCAAGTAAATGATTTGTCAGCATATATGTGTGGCAGTTTCTTATGTGGCTTTTGTGAAATCATTGCACTTGAAGAATAATGGCAACCCTGAATGATCCTCACCACCCCTGTGTAATATCTGAGGCCGACCACAGTGCCCTGCAGACGGCCAAACAGCACACTGCCGTCTGCGTCGGGCTCCTCAGATGCTGCAGCTCTGATGGCCTGAGAAAGAGTCTCTGCATCAGTCTCATTGAGGTCTCTGAACAGATCCACCTCACTGAACCTGTCCCAACCAAACCTCCACCTGTGGGGCAACATTTGGCCTGGAGAGCACACGAGATATACAAAGACAAATACACAGAGGGGCAAAAAAGAAGAGTATAATATCTGACAGAAAACAGGCAGTAGAAATCAACTGACAAGAAAAAAAACACCTGTTATGGGTGCAAAGGGTTGGAGCTGCAGGTTATAACAACAGGAAACGCTTAAAATTCAGGAGAAACAGATACAGGCAACTAACATAAACAAATCATTACACTGGAATTAATCTCGCTAAATAAATCCAAGTCACCTGGCCAAGCTGCAAACCAATGTTTACTAATAAACTCTATGAGATACTAAGAATTAGCCACACGTTCAGTACACTTGTCTTGCCATTTACGTAAACAGCAGCCAAATAACTTTGTCGTATGCAAACACTTAGCTGTTAGGTCTCAACAGTGACCTAACTAGCTTTCACGTAACATTACCGTTAGCTTGTAATAGCTGGCTTGTGTTACAGGTTAGTTAGCTAGTCTTGCATTGTGTAGACCAGTGACGTGCTCATATAAACAGTTACAGTTGAGGACTGTTATTAATCTGAACAGAGAAAGTTGTCCATACTAACTATCGTGCCCTCGGCGAGTCGGTCTTTCTCCCTTCACCCAGAAAGAATTAGTTTGTATCCAGCGTATTAGGAGCATAGAACATGTCGACGTACTGCAATTGATATGTAACATCCGGCACCACCCTCCAAAATAAAATAAGAATATACGATATCTATCTATCTATCTATCTATCTATCTATCTATCTGTCTGTCTGTCTGTCTGCCTGTCTAGAGAGAGAGAGAGAGAGAGAGAGATGCTCCCCCTCCCCCTCCCCCGAGCGTTTTGGCCACGCTACTGCGTATCCGGGCCCTCGCTGTTCATGTGATCTGTTGGAACCACTCTTCCAGTTTGGGGGTCACAGTCCCCAATGTTCCTATTACCACGGGGACCACTTGTGCCTTCACCTTCCACATCTTTTCTAGCTCTTCTTTCAGCCTTTGGTATTTCTCGAGCTTCTTGTGTTCCTTCTTCCTGATGTTGCTATCGCTTGGGATTGCTACATCTATCACTGCAGCCTTCTTCTTCTGTTTGTCCACCACTACTATGTCCGGTTGGTTGGCCTTTACCAGTTTGTCAGTTTGTATCTAGAAGTCCCACAGGATCTTAGCTTGGTCATTCTCAACCACCTTTGGAGGTGTATCCCATTTTTGGTATGGTAGACCCCGACCTCTATTGATCTTGTACTTAGTACTTGTTCTTGTGCTGCCTGGTAGACCCCGACCTCTATTGATCTTGTACTTAGTACTTGCTCTTGTGCTGCCTGGTAGACCCCGACCTCTATTGATCTTGTACTTAGTACTTGTTCTTGTGCTGCCAGCATTAGTGCCTCTGTGCTGTCTTTCAGTCCAGCTTTGTCCAGCCACTGGTAGGATTTTTCGATATCAGCCACTTCTACTATTTGACAGTGGTACATACCGTGCAGAGGTTTGTCCTTCCATGAGGGTTCCTGCTCTTCCTTCCCTTGTTCCTCTGGTTTCTGCTGTCTGAGGTATTCACTAAGCATGTCATCACTCTGGGCCATCTTCCTGATGTATTCATGGATCTTTGTTGTTTCATCCTGGATAGTGGCTCTGACACTCACTAATCCTTGCTCTCCTTCCTTCCACTTAGTGTACAGTCTCAGGATGCTGGACTTGGGGTGAAACCCGCCATGCATTGTAAGGAGCTTCCTTGTCTTGATGTCAGTGGCCTCTGTCTCCTCCTTTGGCCAGCGGGGTTCCATCCATTAGTAGCTGCGCTCTGCTCCACACCACTCCACAGATATTTTAACTGAACAAAGCCTGTTACAGTGAACAGTTGTTATTCTACAATGCAAACATTAGTACTGCTCCTTCACACCCCTGCTTACCTCAGGTTTGCTAAAAATGATGCTGAGAGACCACCCTGCTGGAATACAATATAATTTCAGTGGTGAGAACAGCCAGCACCAGGCTCAGTGTGATCTGTTTATATATATATGTATATATATTTTGCTGGTCTGGTTTTCAAATATACTTTTCCCCATTTCACGCTGTAAATTGAATATATTTGAGTTTTGACTGTTATAAGAACAAAACAAGCAATCTGAATACTGTAAGTCACTTTGGGCTATGGGAAACAGTATTTTCACGGATTGCTGACCTTTTATAATTCATCACTTATTCAAGAAAATAAATAGTATTTAAATAATCAGTGATTATTTAAAATGAAAATAGTCACTTGTAGCAGCCAAAAATAATTTTCTATTAGTAGGTTGCTGTTTATAGTTTGAGTAAAATGGAATTCTGAAAATCAAAGCCACTTGTTTCCGGTGTAGTGATGTAATTTGCAGCCGAGGGCAATGGCGCACGGGTAACTGCAGCTGCCTTGTACGCGCCCTTTGAGTTTGGCCTTGTGAGCGCTACGGAATCCGCGAGGTTCCGATTCCTCTGTTTGTTTGTACGACGTTCCGCTTTCTCTTCTCCGGGGGTGAGCAAAGACCCAGGCTGAGAGTCGCCGGGGACAGAGACGGGAATAAAGTGCTGTATGTTCACACGACACAGCTTTTCACAAGTTCAAGAACATTTGTGAAATCTCAGCTTCACATCTGGGCTTTAAACAAACTGAGAATCAGTAGAAGAGGGGCGGAGTTTCGAGAGTTGTTCGGACTGAGGTTAATTGTTTGCGGTTGACAGCAACCGGTGAGTTTATATTTGCTCATTCAATACGGTCTGATTTTGTCTACAAACAAAACAAGGTGCTTCTTTTGTAAGGGCTTTTTTTCTAAAGGGGGCTTTCCAACTGGATGACATCTTCCATAATTTCTGACACTTTTCCTGTCTCTGAAGGAGATAAAATAGCAGGCAGGATCCAGAGCCCGACATTAGTGGGAGTTGTGGCTTACTCTCTTTTTCATTTAAACTAAAGTAATGACTGTACAGGGAAACTGCAGTACTGTAATAATACCTAAAACATCTGTGAGAACAGCCAGTTGTTCTACAGTGTACATGACTAAAATGGGCATTAGTTAGGAGTTTTTTCAATGTGATTTTATCAACAGAAGTCAAGATCAGGTTATGTTACTGTCTTCTAACAGTGCATGCTACAACATATGTACAGATGTGTGTGTGTAGCCACAGTACACATCTGTTTATGTTTTCTGTGTGGATTTGTGTGTAGCCTACCTATTTTCCAGCTCAGGATTTGGAACTGATCATGAATCTCAATTAAAATCAAGGTGAACCCTGAATATATTTTATATGTGTCTTATTTAAAGTCTTATTTGGGGATAACAAACGTTACACTGGCTTGGAGCAGAAGCATAGAAGTACACTTTATAAAGAGTTTTCTACCAGACTTGTATTCCTGTGGCCTTAAACAGTTTTTAGACCTGAAGCGACTGCTAATGTGTTGATGAACACAAAATGCATCTACCACTTTTTAACCAACCAATTATTGTAAACATGCAAAATATTTGCTGGTTTCAGGTTTTCAAATGTGATTTGCTGCCTTTTTGTCTCATGATAGGAAACTGAATATTTTTGGATTTAGGTCTGTTGATCAGCCAAGCCAAGCAATTTGTATGTTAATTTTGGTTCTGGAAAACTAGAACAGTGTGGTTTCACTGGGAGAATCTGGACTTATGTGTTCAAATTCTGACTTAGATTTTTCAGCCATGCATTAGACCAGGAAGCTAACAGACTAGCACTGTGAGCTCTGAGCTTTGTATCTGGTCCAAGTTGTAGAGCCGAGTTTTGACAGCAGCTTGTGACTTCAGCTTGCCATGTTGGTTGATTTTGAGTTGTAATAATGTTGACACAGGGGTAAGGCAACTGACTGAATAACAGGATAAGGCGTTCAGTGTGGGTGTGTAGCAAGGGCAGTGTGTTTACACTTCTTTCACAACCAGACCCAATCAGTGAAGTGACTGTAAAAGGTAGTGAGCTCATATATTGTGTTAGGCCTATATATGCTGTCATGTCTGACTGTGTGGATTTTATGCTTCTGTGTCAGTGACTACGTTTACATGCACTTAAGTAACCAGGTTACTAAGAGAAACCAGGTTGCGGCATACATCTGATAAAAGGTTTGCATGCATGGCACATGTGGTCTTGTAGAAAGTTGATTAGAAACCTGGTTAAGCGTATACATGACAGAGAAATCTGTGTTCTCCAGGAGAAATCTACCTGGGGAAATCAGGTTTTCCTAAGCCCCTACCCCCAATTAGAGAAACCAGGTTTTTACATGACAGTTAAGAAATCATCTTACCTGAGAAAGCCATCTGTAACCTGGTTACTTAAATGCATGTAAATGCAGTCAAGTGAATGAATTGGGGTGGATGTGAGTAGTGTGTGTGTGTGTTTTTGTGTGCCAGCTTCATCACTCCTTCCAGGAAGTCCTCCACAGAATTTCCTTTTATAGAAGCCAAATACAAAGGGCTTGCTGTTCACTTCCTGTAAACAGCTCATTGGCTGTGTTTATGGCACTCTTGTTGGCCAGCATGGTCTGTGGTCCTCTGGGGCTCGGGGAGTTCCAGGATGAGGAAGCAGGCTTCCCTTGACGTTGGCCAGCCAAAGGGAAGAGAAAGTTCTCTGATCCAGCAAGTGGAGAATAAGGAATAGAAACTATGAAGTACAGAGAGATGGGGCTCTCTGATGAATAGTTAGGATGAAAAGTGAGTTTCTGTGAATTGAGAACAGATGAGAGATACAATTGAAGGTTGTATGGATATGATTGTTAGCCAAGAATGCAGAGCAACCAGAATTAGCACTCGCAAAGGGAACAAATCTACATAAACTGAGCTAAAGCTATTAGTCAATTAATCGCTTGGTTAATTGTCAGAAAATGAACCAATCACAGTTCTGACAATTTATTCATTTCAGCCACTTTCTGAGGAAAAAAAAAAGCTAAGCATTTGCGTACAGCTTCTCAAATGACACACAAGAAAGAAATCTGTCAATCACCTAATTCTCGTCAAGGAAGCAATTAGCAAACAGCTCCTTCAGGTAATTAATCAGTGGTCAAAATTTTCTGTTTGAGTGATCATGTCAACTCCGATTCCTCCCACAGTCCAAATTTGGGAAAGTTGGTTTAGGTTGATTGGCGACTCTAAATTACCTGTAGGAGTGAGTGGTTGTCTGTCTCTAAGTCTCAGCCCTGTGATAGACTGCTGACTTGTCCAGGGTGGACCCCTCCCCTCTTGCCCAGTGTCAGCTGGGATCAGCTCCAGCCCCCCCCCAACAACCCTCGTTAGGATAAGCAGTGTAGATAATGGATGAATGGATGGGTTGATCATGTCAGTACAAGGTTGTGGTCAGTTATACAAACACAAGCATGCTGCCTGCAGCGCTCATTTCATTCACCTGTTTACCTTTTTGCTGTTTTGCTCAGTAAGCGTAGATTGAAGCTAAATATAAGATACCAAAGAGCTCACAGTGGAGAACCTGTTGGCATGGGAGTGTGATTTTAGAACAGGGAATGTGTGGGTGTGTGTGTGAGTGAACAAATGAGGCCTACATGAGTAGGAGCTTTGTGTGTGTGATGAACAGGAGCAGCTTCGCAGCTATGGAATTCCTACCAAAAGGCAACTTGTCTCAGCTTGGCCAGCCAGTACCCATGGTACACACAGACACAGACACACATACACACACACACACGCGCACACACACACACACACACACACACACATTATGGCTGGACTGAGTTTAATTTTATCTTGCCGGGGCATGAATACACTTGTCCCATCCAAGATTGCTGAGGAATGAGGCAACCAGCTAAGACCTGCCCTGAGAGGGGTGAAAGAGAGAAAGAGCAGTAAGGAAACAGTAAGAGCTGAGCATATAAATGAACACTAGACAAGAAGGTGCACACACTAATTGGGAATACTACAGTTTTTATTGTTTACCTGGTCTTCTGTAAGGCAGAAGAGGCAACCAACAGGTAAGTACTTGGCAGCTTAGATGAAAGAGCTGATAGTAGTGAAAAGATGTTTTGGAGACATAAAGAGAACTAGGGGAGTGTCTCATTTTGAGTTGTGTTTTTATAACGATCTGAGTCTTTCCACATTGGAAAATCTGGGGGTCATGATCAGTTTACATCTAAAGTGTAAAATGCCATTATGGGTAGCACACTGCCATCCTGTAATTCAAAATCCTCTCACACTACACTTAGTATCAGTTATAGCTGGGAGAGCTTCCATCATAAAGTCTCCAAGACATAATGTACAGTACAGTGAGTGTTTCAGAAGGTATGCAGGGAGAGGAATGATGTAGCCTTGGGTCAAGGTAGTGCTCGCTTGTCTTTGGTTTGTAGCCTGAGGGCTCAGTTATTCCACAAGACAAACCAGACTATGTGAAGTGGCTTTTTAAATAACTCTAATGGCCTCATGGTGTGTGCATTGGTGAATGTGCTAGTGTTTTAGTATCACAGTGGGTCAGGTCAGCAGAGCTGTTACAGGATGAGGGTATATGTGTGAAGGAGAGGTCATAGCTGTACTTACCTGAGCCACATTTATTACCCACGTTTAACATGCGCTGTGTCATCTGCGGTCAGACACAAGAAATGAGGAAACCTTTGTTTGCTTCCTGTTTCCTGTCTGTGATGTCACCAAGAATTCGGGTCACAGCTCAAAGGAAGTGATCGAACCGCTTGCTCTGCAAGACTGGAAGATGTGCTTGTGTTGTTGATAGTGTTGGGTTTGTGTTCACGTGTCTTTGTGCCTGTACATGTGTCTGCATTCTCAGTTTCACCATATTAGGGTAACAGGTGAAACTCAGTAGTGGGAGAAGTACTTCAATTCTGTACACTGGTAAAAATACCAGTAAAACAATGTTGAAATACAAGTGAACTATTGCAAGTAAAAGTATTCATTCTGCAGAAAAATTACCCCTAGGGCTGACTGGTGTTTTTACTTCTCTGTAAATAGTTCTCCCTGCAGTGTAATACAGTACTACAAACTACATCCTCCAAAATAACCTCAAAGTTGAATCAACACCACGAAAACCGAACCCTTTTTCACAGGGCTGTTGTATTAGACTGCAGCGATTTTGTTTGTTGGTTAAGTGTCTCGGACAACTTTATCTTTTTTAAGCCTCAAACTGTTTAATGAAAACATCTGATCGGTTTAGTGGGGAAATATTTTAGGATTGTATTCGACTTGCTCGTAGAGACTCTTCTGTCTCTTTCTGTCTCACTGCCTCCTTTCCTTCCTCATTCAATTGTAACCGTGAGCAAGACTCAGCACGTCACTTTACCCGTTCAGCGTTGCTTCCTGCTCACACTTTGTTCCCTTCAGTCCAACACTCAGTACTGAGCCACACGCTGAGGCACAGATGGGTTAGTCAGGTCAGTGTGAGTTTGTTCTTGTGTAGTTGTTTTTCTCTGTGTAATGTAGGTTAAGCTTTACTTCGATTTGGAACTTTTTCTGAGTAGCATTTTGAGCTAATATGCAATGCTTTGTCTAGCATCAACAAACAGGAAGAAGTGAGCCAGTGTTTGAACGTGCAACGGACTTAGAGTATTTCTTGTATGCATCTATTCTGCAGGTGTATGTGTGTGTAGATGTGTGACAGCGGAGTGTGTGAGGACAAGCCCCCTGCCCCCCCTGTCAGGATGAGCAGTCAAGGAGGAGGAACCAAGGACCCCCAGTCAGCCAATCACAGCTCTCGGCCGCTGCCGTCTGTACCGAAGGACAGAAAAACTGGAAACAAGATCATCTCCATGTTTGCCTATGAAAAAGGTGAGGGATTTGGAAAGTACACATACTATATATTTACAGACACACAAAAAAGGCCACATGCACACACTGGATGACCAGCACATTGATCCATGACTTCACCTGCAGGAGGCAAGAAGAAGGACCGGGATAAGGACAGGCCTGAGATATCCTCCCCATCCGACTTTGAACACACCATTCATGTGGGTTTTGATGCTGTCACTGGAGAGTTCACTGTAAGTATCTAACCTTATTACTGTGCATTGCGCTTGTTTATGTTTATGATAGTGAACTTAGGGTCATATTAGCTTTCATGCCAAGAGTCATATAAGAAGATTGAGATCACTCTCATGACAGTACTAAAGTAGGTAACTGGAGCCAAGCGCCGGTTAGCTTCGCTTTGCATAATTACTTTAAACACAGGGAAACAGGGAAGTCCATGTTCAAGCACCTCTACTGCTCTCTGATTTCCATTTTGTCATTTAACATAGAGACATGAAGGTGATATCAGTCTACTTATCTGACTCTCGGCAAGAAAGCAAATAAACGCATTTCCCAAAAGGTCGAACTAAGATTGCCATCTATTACAGCCTTGTGTAAAAAATCTGTTGCTAGGAAACATCAAGAGCTCTGTCCAATCAGAACAATCAGTAGGAAGTCACTGTAGCATTACACACAGCTGAGGTACAGCTTTATTCATTGCAGTAAATAATTGCAATAGCAAAAGCCTGATTCAAAAGACCTTTACACATGCAGCTTTACTTAGAAATGTTGATCTGATGATTCAACACAGAGAGACGTAGAGAAGCCCTCGGGGTTTTTCTTTTGTGTTGCTGTAAGTTTTCCGGGTCAGGCTTGCAAATATTTTAGCATCAGCTGTACCTTGAGCACAAATATTGTACTCTTCAACTTGTGAAAGTATTAAAAACAGGTCATTTAAAAAGATCTCTTTTATTTAAACATTTGGATATTGGATGTCCTCGCAGAGAACAGAGCTGCCAGCTAAGATGACATCCGGGTACAGTAGTTCCACATGTGTTATCTGGATGCAAAGCCTGTGTTCACAGCACTTTATCTTTGTTTAATGAATAGATCTCTGTATGTCTTTCACTGTACACGTTTGTGTGTTTGTCCAGGGCATGCCGGAGCAGTGGGCCCGTCTCCTTCAAACCTCCAACATCAGTAAATCTGAACAGAAACAGAATCCTCAGGCCGTCCTTGACATTCTCAAATTCTATGACTCCACCAGTGGAAAACAGAAATACCTCAGTTTTTCTGCATCAAGTCAGTTTTCTTCTGCTGAACAGATAATTCAGTGCCCACTGTTAACTCCGCAGTCTTCTGTCCTTACGCTTTCTTGTTATTTTTCCTCTTTCAGATAAGGACTCGCAATCAGTGAGTAATTCCATTCATTATTTCCACTCATAATTCCTAATGTTAGTTTGAGTACATTCAGTAAATTTCTGCCTGTTGTTTTGTTCCATGTGTTTCCTTATATGTTTGCTATTGCAGCCAGGCAAGCAGGGTGCG